ATCTACAAAAGGAAGGAAGAAAAACAGAAAGTGTCACTTCAAATGAACTTTCGTTGTACCCCCGTGTTACAATTACAATAAAGACAATTTTATTCTATTCTAACTTGACACCATGTCTGAGTGGCTTCATACCATACATTTAAGTTAACTGTAGAGCACTGATCATTAGTCATAAAATTAGGGCTTTATGTCTACAATTATGTGGCGACAAATGTATAAGGTAAAATACAAAAAAGAAATTCATTCTTTCTTGTGCATTTAAATCAGAAAAAGTGGAAGTTGTTTTGAAACTATTAGTTTTACACTTCGGCAAATGATCTTGCTTCACCAAAAAGTGCACGTAGCGTTGGTCATCATCCTTGTCATCAAAACCTTTTTTAAAAAAAAAAAAAAAAAAAAGTAACTAGCTTCCTCTCACTAATTTATCACCTCTGCAGACTCCTTTTATGTGCTTCTCGCATCGTCCACGGTTTTATAAATGTGATATTTGCTCTGTCTGACACAAACACCATTACTGCTGGTGTTGTGCATCAAGCTAAATGTTCATCAGTGGCAGTCTCGCGGATCTGCAGCTATGTGGTCCATATATTCCCTCTAACAGTGTGGACAAAAGGCAACATGACACAAAACATAAACCTCTGAGTCGATACTTTGCTTTTAATGGAGAAAGATGAAAATATCAATGCCAGCTCATTTAGAAATGCATTTTGTTGCCCACTTACTTATAGATAATTGATTTTAACAGCCGTGCCAGAGACAAAGCCAGAAATCAATTGCAGGGCCAAGTTAAGTGACTGCCTGACAGCTCATATTGTGGCCGAACCCGAGCGGTCTAATCTATAAAGACAATAATCCAACGAGAACAGACAGGAGGATTGACTATTAACAGCCCAGTTTGACACGCCGCCTCCCTTCACGACAGCAATACTGGACTGTCTGGCAGGAAAACATGAGATGAAGTGGAATAAATTCTCTTGGTAAATGTTATTACAAACAATATGCCTTCATGAAAAGGACAGAGGGGAGAGCAATCTCCGCAGACTGACCACTCTACGAACCGTTTATCAACTTGAAATGTTATTTCATGCATTAACACTTCACAAACTGCACCCCCCCCCCCACACACACACACGTGCAATCCAAAAGCGCTCCGATTTATGATTACCAGTCAAGTAAGCAATAATCTGTGGCCCCCGTCGACACTCCGCTACCTTTTACTTCCTTCGGTTCCAGCCTGTCTCCGGGCCCCTGCAGGTTCAGAGACAAGGCTGTCAGGATAATGTGATGAAGGTGGATGCAGGCTGCCAGGAGCTAAATCCTGGCTGGGGGGGTGACATTCTTTGATTTTTAACCATTACAGAGTTTTCACAGAGCTGCAGTCAATTTATTTTATTTATTCTAATGAAGAGCATTAGGAGTGCCATAGTGTGCTGCACTGCACATTGATCGCCTCGTTAATCACACTTTGCAGACACTCGCAAATCAAGTTCTAACAGCAAGCACTGAATCAAGTGCAATGAAGCATAAGCTCCTTCACAATTTATGATCTTTCAAATTGCATCTTTTCAACCATTAAATTGCAAGATACCATAAATTTTTATCCTCTCTTCTTCAGCCTTGGCATTGATTGTGCCGTGTGAAAAATAGAACTGTAGTAAATTCAGGCAGTTAGACGAAAATTTAAGCCTTGTCTCTTAGAAGAGAAACCCGACGGCACAAGGAAGGCTGTTAATTTGCAATTGAGAACAAATATCAGGGGTAATAAAAATTTAAAAGTCCAACAGGGGTTTGAAAGACACTTCTCAGACGGGGTTTCAGTCCTCTGCAACCTTGAGCTCTTTTACTTCACTACCTTTTAAATGTCAGTGCAAGTTCACGAGTGGTTCATCCACTGTGTTTGAGGATTAGATATGGCTTCAGTACGTTTGAATGAAAAGGTTGTCTTTTCATCTCTCGCAAACAAAAGAAATTCACATTTTCTCATCAAGACACACTCACACACACACAGTTACTGTATTTCACTTTCTTTTCTCACTTTTAAAGAGTCAGACAAGTTTAAATATACATTACTACAAACTTATCACCCAAAGTGGCCATTACAGTTAACCTGCGGAAATTTGAAACCGTTGTTACCTGCCCCATACTGTTCTTGGAAAATGGCATAATTGTTCTTAGATTGCATCTCACTTGCACCAAGCTGTACGGTACACTTGTCAAACAATACAGTCAAATTAGTTCTCTGTGATTGAGCGTGTTGAGGATCTATCCAGCACGTTACGTATCTATGAAAAGAACAGAAGTGGCCAGAAAAAGTCTCAATTACTGCCACAAAGTAAGAGAAGCAGTCAGTGGGTTCCAAAAGTGAAGGGTTAACCTCTTCACATCTGCACCTTCACTCTCACGTTATGATTGGAAAGTGGGCCTGCTGTTAAACACAGCATTATTACAATGCCTGCAATGTGAAATTCAGCTAAAGATCACAGACCAAGTCTAAGTAATGGACCATCACTTTTGCAAAAGTAAAACTCCAAAAGTAAAGCGGAGGTTTTCCTGCTGGTTTAAAAAGAATAAACAAACCTATTTTTATATTGATAATCTCGAGATATATGCTGTGACAGAGGAACAGTAGGTGGCACTGTTCTGTGTCCTCACAGTGGAGAGTTATTGGCAATTGCTCAAAGCACAACACCAGCACCTGGGATTTGAACCAGCAGCCATCTGAGCATGAGCACAGACGTTTAACTACAAGATACCTGTTGTCATAGCTGGCAAGTAGGTACCGAGTAGTACACAGCTATGGTTAGCACAATTAAAAAAATAAAGATAACAAATAGAATTTGGACTGAAAATACAACACAGTTATTCAAATATGCAACATCAATAGATTTAGCTATAAATCGAACACACATTATCTTGTAATAGTAGGAATAGCTGATTAAATTAACATCTGAATAGTTAGGGTAAATAGAAGAGCTATTTTTTTTTACTGTAAATTTACTGAAAGGTAATACAAATACGACATAAATATTACAAAAAATCCCAACGGTTAGCTCAGAAATAGCTTCATATTAAAATAGAAAAAAAAAAGAATTGTCCAAAAAAATAAATGAATAAATGTTGAAAGTTAGTATATACATATACAGTATATAAATCCAAAAATGTAGGCCTGGATTTTGCCTTTTCCTGAGAAGCTGCGTAAAAACACATTAAAGTCAGGGATTCTGACATGCTATTGGAAGGGTGAGTAAAAGCTGATTCTATTAAAAAAATACAAGTAAATTTAAAAAAATACCATTTACTGATTTCAAGTGATAGTGAAACAAATAAAAATGTTCCTTTCCCAGTCCTCTGCAGAGAGAACAGCGCAGCTGCGTCACCGTCGACCGCTCTGCCAGACAACCACTCGGACAAGGTGAAAAGTGACACCACAGCAGCGTGGAGGATATAAACGCTGCGGTCACTTTCATAGGAGGAGCTTCCCTTCACTCTGACAGCACATGTGATAACTCCACATCCTCAAAGAAGTACATGACTGCGGTCAGACAGCAGAAGTGCTTCTGACACACAGGCTCCCCCAGGGGAAGACAAATCAGCCGAGGACACAGCATGTAAGAAAAACAAACCATAACAAAAGGCATAAAAGCTCACAAACATTGGATTGATCAGACAATTACAACCCATCTGGCCTGTTAAACACAATCTGCTATCACACACACAGGACTGGCTCTTTAGCTTTTTGCACTTGCTGGTGCAGTTGGGCTGTTCTCAGATCTGTTAAAGACAACGTTCTAAAGACACTGGTTTGGTAATAATTTACATTTTTTTGGTTACGGTCAATAAATGTCACGAGAAGACAAAAACAAATAACTAATATATACCACAAAGAAAAAAAGAAAGAAAGAAAGAAAAACTACAAAGTCCATTGTTATCCAGATTTATAGCTCAGTGGTGAGAATATTTCATACGTCCATCAAAGAGTCAGTTCTGACTTATTGGTGCTGTGAGAATTTATATGTGTGGAAGAAGAGTAAAACTTGCTAAACAGCTTAATTCAGCATTCAATCATATTTATACTTTGCTCATTATCATTAAAAGTCCTTTGCTTTGCTCAAATATTCATGTTTGTTCTTTTAAGTTTAAAGTAGTGGAAGTCTTATTTGGTTTAATTCCTTATTCGTAGTGTGCTTTGAATTAAAGAAACAACTTTTCAACAACTATGCAACAACAAATACATCAGAATTATTGCACAAATAAACCATTTTTATTATGATATTTTAAATGACCGATCTTAAGGAAGAAGAAAAAATGTACTGTAGTTCCTCTCCACCCCTGCAGGGGGTATGAAGAAGTCCTGTGACACAAAAAATGATTTAAAAATATTAGTCCATCTCATCCTGTGACCTAAGTCTTCCTCATTTGGTTGTAGTGGCAGCTCAGCATCTTTTGACTTGCATTACTGCCACCTACTGGGTTTGTTTAAGAACTTCTAACAACAAAGGACCCATACACAAAAATGAGATTGATGCAACACCTTAGGCTCTGTTAAGCCAATTAAAAAGACCAATGGGATCAGTTTTGTTGAAATATGGCCCAGTAAATCCATAGTGTAACGTCTGCCTTGCAAGCCGTGAGCAGAAAGTGCTTGGTTAGATTCTCAGAGCACAGTTCTGTGTTTTCTGAACATAGAACTGCTATATTTTTTTATTAAATCATTTTGAATCAGTTATTGAAGCACATGTTGTTATTTGCGAGTTGGTGTGTTTGATCAAAAGTTAAAAAGGTGTGTGTAAGAACCAACTCTTATGACTTTGTCTGAAACCTGTGGTTGTTCTACCAAAGTCCAGTTAGTGTTTTGTCATGTGACTGTTTTGACTGTGCCCCAAATATCCCTCTGCAATTTGGTTGTACATGTAACAACACTCTGTTCCTGTTCCTATTATACAGCCTTTTTGCTTTGCTAATGATAAAAAGCCAGTGTGATGTCAACAACTACGACTTACCGTGAGCTTCTGATCGTCTGTGTTGTCCCCTGAGCTTTAACAAACCCGTGGCTCCGCTCTCTCCTCTTGTGTTGACTCCTGTGGACCAAAACACAGTTTGACTGTAGTGTGTGGAGCTAAGCACACATCAACAAGCCTCACAATAGTGCACTCAAAAAGACACTGTCACCAGCCCAACAAAGGCAGATGCTCCCGACTATGACAACTTCTCGCCAACGACAAAATGCCTCATGACAAGCTTTCAGGCGATGGTTGAGCCGTGGCAGATTACACAGATCTTTATCTTTTCATAAAAGGGAGTGCAGCATTTAAGTGCCGATGACTGAGAATACAATCTGAATTGTAAAGTGTGACACAGTCATTACATGGAGATGTAGGGCCAGTAATGGTGAGAGTAATTGTGTGATGACAGTTTCACTGCACAGTGACATTCTCCAGGGCATTGTCATCATGGCTGACAGGTAATAGGGGTCCAGTGAGAATTGGGTATGTCTTACAGTCGGAGTTTCTTCTTGGTAAACACCCACCAGTCCCACCAGTCCCACCAGTTCCCCCTGAAGCCCATCTTTACTTACAGCTTTGTCAAACCCCAGAACTTGCAGAAGGCTTTTCAATATAGCTGCAGGTCTGCGTGAAGGTAATTAGATGTTAATGTGAAATAATGGAATCATGTCGCGTTGTTACATAGGGAGAAGTGCAGACCTGGGCCAGATCTCAGAGTGAAAAGCACAATTGCTTAAAAATCAAAACATGCTGTCAGCGGCTCACCTAAGCAGCAGAAAATGCCCCTACTTTGGAATACATTACAATGGTAATTGCTCTGACGAAATTACCTTGTCTGCGATGAGTTGGACCAGACATCTGAGATATGCACGTCGATTGGCTCAATTTCATGATCATTGGAAGGCTGAAATCAAGGCCTTTATGTGGGAGAAAATCAACAGGGGAATTGACATAAACATCTCATCGGAGACATTACACTGAAAGGTTCATTTTTGCACAGCATTGTTAGCAATCCATTCAACCTGAGGCTCTATCTTAAAAAAGGCCCTTCTTTAGTAGGAAACTAGTTCTGACACTGACGGATGTTAAATATATGACTGATGAAAATTAAGAGTTGTGGGTTCAAATCACTGACTTATCATTGTTGACTGTATGTCTCAGTGTGATGCTCTCTCTCTGTAGCTTCAATTATTCTTTTCTTTCACATGTTTTTCACACCACAGGAGTGCCTTTTTCACCAGCGGTTAACCACAACCCTGGTGGTACGTGTAGGCATTGCATTGTAAACTTATATTAGTGTTGTAATGGAAACAGGAAGGTTTGGTGCAAACATTTTTGGTACAAAAAAAAATAGAATAAAATTGGGTGGGGTTCACAGCAAAACACAAGAGCTTTAACTTATAATTGTTGTTATTTACTGATTAGACACTGACTTGAAACTCTAGTGGACACAGTCTTAGCGATTTTGTTTTTAAAAACTGACTTGAAACTCTAGTGGACGGTTTTACACAGTCTTAGCGATTTTGTTTTTAAATATGATATGTATATATATTCATATATGCACTACAATACAAAAGTCTATCACAGTGTGACATCATTTTGACTCTTAATTTAACAGTGGTCTCACCTCGGTTGATTCAAGATGAGGTCCGGATGAGGCCCGTGGGCCGTCCATGCCCAGGCCCGCCCATAAATCTGAACAGATTTTGATCCCAGAATGTTGTGCATCTAAAAACACAGGACAGTGAAAATCAGCCTGGATGATAAAATAAATGCAATAAACAGAACCACACCATCCTTAGGCTCCACCCATAATTGTCCACTGCAGTTGGTTCCTGTCTCTGCCATTCTTCCCAGGAGGAGTTAAAACCCCTCTCATGTCTGTGATCTGATGAGGATCACCTCCAGCCGTTTGAAAGGTGATTTCTGAGCAAAACTGTTTCTTCACACACACCCGGTTTGAGCCGAAGGCACATTTTTCCAGCATGTTAACAAACATGTAATTTCCACAAACACGTCCAGTAATTGACAGCTTGATTTGGGCTCTGCCAGGAAGCTGACAGACACTTCTTGGCTGCTTTAATGCAGGCAGACGGAGGCTTAAGGCCTCACCAGCCTGTAATGAGCTCCTCACAAGGCTTTGTGTGGATCACAGCGAAGGAGACACAAAATCCCAGGCAACATCCTTTATCTCGTTAGCTTCTATCATCCGCTTCAGTTTACAGTTGCTCTCCGGGGTATTAAGAATTTTAATTAAATATCAGTAACTATTTCTACATTCTAATCTAAACAGGGAGACATACAGCCAGTGTTTTTTTTTTTAGCTGCTATTACACATTAATGTCAGGGTTAAACAGCCCAAAAAGCAACGAGTCAATTATAATAATAAACATTAATTATTTTAGAATTTTTTTAATATATAATTTATATTATATGTATATATATTTATATATAAACATATACTCATCAACCACATCCTTGTAGGAGGCAAATGTGTCGTTGCGGTAAATCTCAGAATTAGGAGTTTGGTCATTTTAGGTCTGGGAAATACTTAATGATATTTTTTGTACTTTTTGGAAATTATATAAATGCAGGGAAATATTTTCTCACCTAAATTGTGATTAAATGGGAAATAGTTTAAGAATTAAATAATAATTCTCAGAGATAATCTCAAAATAATGGTTGACAATCATCTTCTTTGATGAAGAAGTTAGAAGAAGTATGACTTAGTCAGACATAACAGACAGTTAATAACAGACAACAATCAGGTGGATTTTTTCTTTGCAGAAAAATGTCTCCATGTAAAATTACAACTTCAAATAATTTCACATAACTGTTCTTGTCGTACCTTGAATTTAAAACGTGCATTTCAATTCATGACACAAAGTGTGACAACTAAACACAACACTCATGAATAGTAAACAGCGATGCAGAGGTCAAGGGGCTCCAGCAGTGAGCCCTGCTGCCTCTCACCTAAAAGCACTCTGCTGCCTGAACCGCAGCAGCACATTCAGCTCTTCTCTCTCCAATAAGAAAAAAAAATCTGCAGAGTGGAAGAGAAGGGCAGCAGAGAGACGACACTGAGCACAAGAGGATAAATAGCCTCTGATAAATCTGTATTGAACTGTGTGTGTGTGTGTGTGTGTGAAGGCTGTTAATACATATTAATGGTGACAGGAATATTTGCAAGTGAATACACTGGCGAAGGGGATTAAACATAACTCTCCATAGAAGGGGAGGTATCATCACTCCCATTCTGGCGTGGGACCGGGGCCGTATCAGATTCATCCCCCCTGCACACTGCCGGCAAACACAGAGCCCTTATCTCTGCGCTGGGCCTCTCCGGAGAGTTTACAATTTCTCGCTTCGCTGGAGCCTGAGCTGAGCTTGTTACCGGCACAAAGGCTGAGAGGTGGCCTGGTTGAGAGCACAAAGCCGGCCTCACCTCTGGACAGACACACATTTCCCTCAGATAACGGACGAGTTGTTGGACAGCTGCACCTCTGTCCCCTCTGTCCCCAACCTTTGTAACAGTGAGGACATCGGCAAAGTCTAAGTTTCAGCAGAGGCTGCGGTGTAGCGAAGAGCTGTGTTAGAGGTGACGGAGGGACGCGAACCCAACAGATGTGATCTGGTTCCTGGCAGACCTTTAACTGGCTTGTCATGAATCTCTATTCTCTGAGGACATTTGTGTCTCTGCTGATTACAGTCAGTCCTCAGGGAGTTGACAAAAGGAGCAAATTTAGGGTCAACACTGTTACAAAACCTGGGAAACTGTGGTTGAAATATATTCCATGTATATATTTGACATGTAGGAAATATAATTGGGATAGTCACAATTTCTCATATTATTTCTTTGTAGTGACTCTTCTACGTTAGAAACAAAATATTTGGGAAAAAAAAAGTTAGATTACATACTGTTGATATATGAATTTATTAAATCAAAATATGCCATATTTTCAAATCAGAATTTGGGGAAAATAATACAATTATTCAAGTCTTAAAAAATGTTTCTTCATCAGTCATACTGTAATACAAATATTTCAAAAAGTAAACATTCTAAATGATAAGGCAGGTTTTAAAAAAATAAATATTCCTGTGTATACATACATTTATATTTTCAAGGATTTAAAATTGGAATTGAAGTAAAAAAGGAGGCAGCATTTTGATTTGGTGAGTTTAGTCTTAGTCCAAGTCAAGGATTAGAATACTGCACAGTAGTCTCTACAGACAGTCATGTGATGTTTTTAAAAAAAAATCTGTGGTCTGTTATTTTGTCTGTCACTGTGCTGCTGTCTGAAGACTCCAATCTTGATGAGGCTTTTCTGTTAAAATGAAGGTTAAATAAATGCTGATTGCACTGTTGTAGGCCACAGAATTAGGTAACCTTTAAAACAGAGCGAGCAAGCGAGAAAGCAAGAGAGAGAGAGAGAGAGAGCGAGAGAGAGAGAGAGGCGACGGATGTGTTTAATCATGACAACACACGCAAATCCAGTTCAGTAAAATACAATAAAACTGAAGCAAATCCCCGACACCTTGAAGGAAACCAAACCTTGTGCGACACTTTGCTTTGCTGCAGAAATGCTAACAATAAAACAGAAGATCTGTAGTTTAAGAATGAGACCAGATGACAATATGTCAGTGTCAGTTGAGCAGGTTTCAGGTCGACAGGTAACAGTGATTGCAGCCTCACTTAGAGTTCTACAGACGCAGCACTGCCAGCCGACGTGGTGCTGAGGCAGCGCCGCCTTTGTTTTGCGGGCCACAGCGAATTTTTATTTTCATTTTTTACTTGCTGCAGTAATTATCTGCATTGTTGGTGAGAATAAAGAAAAATAAAGTGCATGAATATGTGCCGGTCAATTGGATTCTGTCAGTTCAAGCAGAATTGGGTACACAAGCGAGCGGCTTGCCAGCTCGAAATAACGATGGTGTTTGTGTGGAAGAGCCGCCCCCCCCCTCGCCCTCCTTCCTCCCTCAGCCCCCCCACCTCTAAAACAGCTCATCAACAGCAGAGAGAGTCTGTCACCCAGGGTACGGAGTGACAAGTCTTCTGCATCTCCGTCTGTTATTAACATGTCTCTGACGACAAGCTCAATTATCTGACACTGCCCGTAATTTCCATTCCTTTTTCTGGCACAATGTAAAGTTCCTCTCCTTCATTTTCAAAGCTGCTCGTTTTGGATTCAGCAAATACTGATATAAGACATGTGTGGGAGGAGGATGTGAAAACTGAGGGAGGAGGAAAAAAACATCTGCAAGTCACAGCAAAGTTGCTGCAGCCTCACTTTTCTCAGGCCTTTATCTGGTTTAAAACACTAACTTTGACAGTTTTTGTTGTCTGTTGGACTGAAGGGGAGTTAAAACTTAGAGTTAAAATTTAAAATTATAGTTTAAATGTATAAATACTTTAACTAATGCTAAAAAGCAATGCTAAAGCACCATTTCCCAGATTTACATCCAGAACACTTAAAATGCATTATATAATTTTTCCACTTTTGTCAGGTGTTGGGTTTGTGTAACATTAGATCATTATGCAAATTTGAATTTGTAGTATAGGCATTTCATTTTGCCATTAATAACATATTTTGTGTAACATTTTGTTCACAGTATAATTAAGACATCATCTGACATTACCAACAAAATTGAACTTTTTGGGGTAAGTTTAAGTTTGTTTCATCAGTTACCGAAATAAAAAACAAAAAAACTAATTATTTTATTTTGTACATTTTATCCAGAATTCAAACCTAAGAATTCATTATTATTTGAAGCACTTGTTTAAACATAGTAGACACAGAAGAACATTTGATGGACAAAAACTAAAATTATATATTTAATCTAATTAATGGTTTTATTTCAGTTTTTTTGGAGTATTCAATTAGTGATTTGTCTTAATGATTAAACTACAGTTGTTGGTTTTGATTAAAGACGAGTTTGTTTTGCTGCCTGTGAAGTTTGATTTCACACAGCACAACTTGATTAACTATCATTTAGAAGCCACACTTTTTGATGTATTTTAATGAATCGTTTAACATGTTTTTTGTTGTTGTTGTTGTTGTTTTCAAATGGAAGTCCCTAATGAGTGTTTTCTGAGCATATCATCTCCCAATCATTTAAAAACGAGGAAAATACCATTTAAATCACTTTCATCGACTTCTCTACGTTCTTTTACAAGCAAAAATCAATGTGAACCCAGTTTTTAAATTTAAATTTTATATTGTAATTGGCCAACCAAGATTTTTTTTTTGTTTGTGGAGGGATGTATAAAATGTTCCAGTGAAGTGAGACATGGCCATGAGACTGAGTGTCTGTGCTGCTGCTGCTGCAGGTGGACGTTAGAGGAAGTGCTAATGATGACAGCTCTAACTCACTGCAGGTTCAGTAAAGCATGGCAGGTTGGTCAATTGCCCAGAACCCATTACTTTCACCCCCGACACCAACCTTGTAATGTGATGGGTGCCTTCTGTAAAGCACTGACCCATTGTCAACAGAGAAATCTGCAGGTTTGATGTAGACACAAGGTTACACAGGCCATTAGGCGTCTTAGGCGTTTGAACCAGACTTTAGCTTACACTGACGGTAAAAAATAACATGGAGCGTGAGGTTCTTCGTCATTTAACCGGAGAAATCCCGTTAAAATACAGGTGAGGGCGGGATTATAGGTTACTAGTAGACCAGTTAACTTTTCTGTGAAGTGTATCTCCATCTGAATATACTCAAAATACCAGCATTATTTGATATTGCATTTAGACACACAATTATTTCACAAAAATATAAAAGAATCGTAAAAAATAGGTTCAAAGTCAAACCATGTATATGGAGAAGTACTGGGGGAAAGAAAGACAAACACTTATGGTTTAGTCAAATTTTAACATCTTGGGCCACAGGTACTGCTAAGGTTAAGAGTAGGAAGGGAGAGACCTGAACACAAAGAACACCTTACCTACAGTGAAACATGGAGGTGGACTGTAATCCTTGTTCGTTCATTCTTCTTCTACGCCTTAATCCTTCTCAGGGGAGGAGACGGAGAGGCACATCCAGCAGTCATCTTGATGAGGTACAAGACCCAGGACAGTTCCCCAGTCCATGGAAGGGCCACATATAGAAACAAAGAAACATTCAAAGTCACATTAATAATCACTTTTGAGTAAAAGGGAATAAGTTTACCCAGTGCACCCGTGGTTCCCAAATCGGGTGTGGGGCTATCATGGGGGCTGGTGGAGTGCAGAAAGGCAAATTAATTTAAATTTCAACATTTACTTTATTTGCCTCTCTGTAAGCAATTGCACTCAGTTGTTGTTTTGTTCCCTTGGTTAAATGCAAAAATCTCCTTAGTAATTACAGGGTTTTAAATAAGGTTTAGGGAAGTTTGAAAGAATAAGCTGTGATTGCATGACATGTGGGGGCGCAACGATTGTATCACAAAGGGTGTGGGGAAGGCGGGGGTAAAAGAAAAAGTTTGGAAACTATTGCTATAATAGTTTGTTGGGGCATGTGTTAAAAATCCTTCTCCTGTATAAAAAGGCTTCACAGGAACTTCACAGGGCTATAGATAAAAATTCAATGCTGCGGTTGCCGGCCTGGTTTGTTGACTTTTATAGGGGATGTTTTGTATTCATGCTGCTTCTTCCTGGTGAGGGCCTACACAGGAGCTGGAAACCTTCACCGCTGTGCTGCAGATGGGAATGGAATGACCTTGGCTGCCAAAAACATTCTGCTTCCTGTCATCTTCAGACAGCCACTGTTTGACCACCATCTACCCGATGCATTCTATCCGACACTTGTAACAATGGTGTAAAATGGGAGGAAAATTGAGCTCACCTTAAAGGCAGACTTCAGTCCCTCTTGAAGGCTGAAAGCCCTGGAAAGAGCCCGGTGCCCAGTGGCGGCTCTGAGTCCTTGTTTTGCTCCCTGAGACGTGTGTAATCAGAGAGAAAGTCCAGCACAGATTACAGTCTTCAATCAGTCAGGGAGGAAAATGATATGTACATCATTGTCTCTGCAGCACATCCCAGGCTCTGTCAGCTCACATGCATATTACCTGTGTCAAAGCTGCCAGGGACATTACGAGGGAAAGTGAGAGCCATCACTGAGCCGCCACTCAGAGGGGGTGGCGAGTCTCCCGGAGCAGCAGCAGCCGGATTCACTCGGCGCGGGGAGACTCTTCTCTGACCTCCAGGATGTTGTTGACACAATGTAATGTACATTTTTCTGATACAAAACATCCCCTTTCATGTCTGAAATGGTTTTTCAATGGGCTGAGTAACACTGGAGGCCAGCTCTTGTCACTGACAGAAAATACGCAGAGATCACCTTGCTGTTTTTTTTTTTCTTCTTCCTTTTCTTTCTTCACCTCTCGTCTCCAGTGGCAGGAATTTGAAGCAGTTGTCATGTTTGACCTTGAGGTGCACAATAAAAGACAGAGTTATTTTGTAGAGTGGGGGGAAACTATATGACTGATCCATCCTCATCTTCTCATAGATCCGCAGCATAATCATATACAATTGGCTCCTCGCTAAAAACAGACACATGCTGTGAAGGAGGGCAAAGGTGCTGCATGGTATGGAAATTTCATTGGCATTGTCTCATTGTGGGAGACTCAATTTTCACAGTTTGTTCTGGAAAGAGAGTAGAAAAAAAATCATACTATAAATGCAAAACAACAGGAGAGAAACTGAAGGCATAAAAATAATGATTTCTCCAGATGCAGAACAAAGAGAGAGTAAGTCGAAAAGCAAAAAAAAAAAGATTTACAGACACAGAAACACATACAGTCCAGTCTTCGTAACAAAGTTTACTGACTGACCTGACGTTGTTGAAGTCGAATCCAGCCTGTTGATGGTCACTGCCTTAAAGAGATCAAAATAGATGAAGGGTGAAAGTGTCTGTGTGCAAAGTAAAATAATTCAATCTGAAATCAGAGCCAGGCTGAGCTGACGCCACTGATGAAGTCAGAAAATACAGGACGGGCCACATCCTGTGTGTCATTATCATCAGGTCCATATCAAACCTCCACACGTCCCACGCCAGGTTTCTCTTCACCTTCAGACGTCCACACATCGACACAATGTCATCACCGACTCTGTCTTTTCTGCTCAACCGTTGTGTTTGTCTTCACCGGTCCTGCTGAGGCTTCAGAGGGAGGTCAGTAAATTGTCTCCAGGATAAAAAATAAAGGCCTTTGTGACCTTTGTTAAATTGTCCACGAGCAGCAGACAGAGAATATCAGGTTATTGAGTTTGAGCCATGCTGTGTTTCCCGCCTGGAGAAAATGACCCGTACTGTTGTTTGTCTCCTGTAGTTGATCAAGGACATGACTGAAATGCAAAAAAAAAATATAAAAAATATTCATACATAGTTAAGAACATCCTGGGGAATTAAGGAGGGAATCTGCTGAAAACATAACATTAAGAAGGGAGGAAAGTGCTTTTTACTCACAAACAGACTTTATGTCGATGAGAAAAATACATAAGAGCTTCACGTTCCAAATTCAGGGAAATGTTTCACAGGGGAGACGTATCGTAAATGAATGCAGCTGCAGATCCACAACAATTCATCGCACTGTACTTTCAAGTTGTTGCTTCCTTGAGAAAGGCAAATAATAGTCATTTGCAAAATTGCAGGCCTATCCTTCAAATACAGAGGAAAACAGTTGAAATTGGGCAGGGACGGAGCAGAAGCAGCAGCTCGTTCACTCAAGCAGTTTGGATATTTGGGACAGTATAATGCAATAAGTAATTTCTGCCCGCAGTTCACATTACCTCCTAACGCTTAAGAACCATAATCCCAATGGCGTTTGGAATTCTATCACACATACAGAAATGTTATTGCATGATTACAGTCTTCCTGTGCCTCTGCAGCAGTTATTGCATTTATGCATTTTGCACATGAATTGGAAAAGACGTTGAGCGTCACATGCGATTATGCTTCTTTTCAGACACAGATAGAAGAAATGATGCTGTTCACTGCACGGAAAACACACAAACAAGACAGTTGGTCTAATAATAAGTTCTGTGAGACACAGGATGTGTTTTTAGGTTATACTTACTTGTCAAAATAAATGTCCACACCAAAGACATAACCTGGTTCAATATGATCTAAAAAAAAAGTAAATAATATAATAGATTCCATAATTGAAATTTAATTATTCTACTATTTAGAACATTCTTAAATTGAATTTAAAATATTGTTAGCAAAATATTTTGTAATATTTACACTCATTCTCAAGTTCAGGTTTATCTATTATTATATTATTACACTATTAATATTATTTAGGCAGTTATGCTATGAGGCTAATGATATACACAATTAAAAACATTTAAATGCATTTATTTTTATGCCATTGAAAACTAAAAATGTTTAGTTTTTGTAATGTTTGTACAAAAATAATATAAATAAGTCACATCATGTAAAATGTTACCTTTCATTTTAAATATATGGAAATAAATAAAAATTAATATCTGGTAACAAAAATACTGTTGTAAACCACATAGAGTTTTGTTGTTAAACTGAAAAGTTGAAAAGTAGTTGTAAGATGTATATAAACAACTTGAGTAATGACTGAAGGTCAGCACCAACATGTCTGCCTGAGAAGATCATAGCCACAGGAAGCTCCACTTGTCCTCCATCAGTGTGTTTCTTTTTATTATGTGGACAGCCCCCCCCCCCACACACACACACACACACACATACTCACCTCTGCTCAGTCTGATCCAGACCAGATCTGACACACATCACAAAGAAAAGAACGTCACCACTTTGTTGACAAAGTTGGCCTCTAATCTTTGGTGGTCAGTTGAAATGGCACAGTGGACAGTCACGCTCCGCAGCAGCAGCAGCAGCAGCAGCAGCAGCAGCAGCAGCAGCTACGCCACCCTCTCTTCTCCCTTTAACCTGCTGATGAGCTTCACCCACTGATGGCAGCTTTTATCTGCAGTGGCCAGAAGAAGCCGAGCCTCCTCCTGTTATGAGGAACTGGCACTTCGTCAAGCAAGACAAAGTTCTCCTGCCTCTGACAACAGACAATTATTCTCAGCTGTGGCTGTGATTTGCATCATAAAAGCTTCGGGCCAGTCGTAAACAGTCGGAAATAACACAAAAATGAGCGGCAGGATGGAAAAATATTTCAAGTAACAACATACAAACCTGACACACTTCTTATGTGGAGAATCCACGACCGTCAACGCCGACTGTCCCAGAGGTCTGTGAATCATAGATTCTCTTCCTGCAGGGGAGCAAAGATTATTACAGTATTCAGATTACCGAGCAGGGGAAATTAATTGGACTAATTAACATACAAGTAAATGATGATACCGTTAACACATTTCATTAACTCAAACTGTCATTCTATGTTCCTGCTGCACTTGGTATTGCATTACAATGAATTGGTTTCATTACATTATGCAAATGAAAGGAACCACAAAAAACACACAAGTTCTCTTTAGACTGGCAGATCACATTTTATGGCCGCTTTTATCAAAAACTCAATAACACACAGAATAGACTCTTTTTTTAAACAAAATTCACTAGATTAAGCTTCATACCCTATAACGATGGTACCTTGTCATCAATAAGTTATCTGAACTCCCTTATGTTTATTAAGATATATGTCAATTCCACATGGATCCTGTAGGTGGCAGTAACACATTTTAAAGCTTACAAAGCTGCTTTTAAAACCCAAACATGGAGGTGAAGAGTGAAATAATCAGCAGGATAAATTAGGTCTGCAATCTGTAATTTGTATTTTTTCCTTAAATGTTATTTAACAATTTCTAAGCTAAGAGTGTAATCGTCAAACTTTTTTTGTTGTTAAATTGGGCCTGAATGAAAGTTTTGGCATATTACTGTTGGAAGTGTACAGGTAAATGGGATATCAGAGCTCTGTGCTATACTAAGATCACTCACCTAACAGTGATTTACAACTGGATTTTTAGCACTGCCTGCTGGAAAAGTGTTTGTGTTTGTTACATAAGGTTAGTAAACAATTTAGCATTCTTGACAGGTTAATGAAGGCGTGGAAAAAAGACATTTTATTCTATTCAGTCTGTTATGTTCGTTCTTGTTTCTTCTAAAGGATAACAATTAAAAAGACCTGTGATCTCATTAAAAAGAAAACCCCACCTTACTAGTAATTAAACAGTTCTCCAGGATACTGTATTTATAATGATTCATTTACACAGCCAACACACATAGTGGTTTTGCATCAGCATTAGTTTGGTATACTGTACACTATGTTCATCCATTTCTTATTAACAGTAAGGAAGGGAATATGGTCCAGGAACTGTAGGCAATTTTATTTTTTTTACCATGACTAACTATAACACCATTTAAAAATGTTTTCGTCAATTAATCTAAAAATAAACACAGGTAAAAACCATAAACTGTTAATTCCATAGGTTTGGTTCAACGTCGTTAGATATTTTTCATTGTCTTGGAACAGAGCAGGTGCAGTACAAATGTGTGTTTAACACTGACCTGTAATAGTGAGAGGACACGGCTCCTCTTCACCTCTGTGACTCCTGTGCATCTTCTCAGCTGTTCATCCTGAAGAAGGTCCAGAGGTCAAACGAACACACCTCTGCTCCTGCTGCCATGGCTACAGTGACATCTACTGGACTACCAACACTGGTCTGTGGAGGTCCTGTAGAAGAGTGAGCAACAACACAAAAACAAAGATTTTATAGGTCACATTATCATTCTCCAGGTCTAATACTACAACATTTCAAGCAGAATCAATGTGTTCTTTAAAAAATAATAATAAAAGTTAAAAAAACGGTGTTGTTTTATTGTCAGAAAGGAGCACAGCGTTGGATCAGTTTGAACCAGTTGAGTGGTTGGTTTAATCTGTCATCTATAGTAGTGATAGTTATAACAGTTTGTACTATTTTGTCAGCAATATTTTGCCTTTTAAAGGCCGTAGCTGAGCCTTTTAAAAAAAATAAAAATTTAGAATAATGTATTTTTGTCCAGGGGCCAGAGAAGTATCATGTGTTGTATTTTCACAAGTGATTTCTAGTTAATCTTTACCAATAAATAAATTAGAAAACTAATGACATCTACCTGGCTTTAAAATATTTTTTGCTATTTCAAAATTATCACAATTTCTTTAATCATTTTTATTTGGGATACAAAAAGGCGAAAAACAGCAAAACAAATTTAAATATTAGAGACCTACCTGTAGTATCTTAGTAATTTAACATTAGAAGTTTCGTAACATTATTTATACCTACCTAACTTGATTCTTACATCTGAAAAGAAAATTACAAAGGTGAGATTCAGGGAGAGTAGAAACAAGACACAGCAATCAAATAAGAATATAAGCAAAAAGTGAGGAAATTGCAAGTGTGACAAAAAGGTTTATATAGATAATATATTGACAAATTTGTACAGAAGAATTGATTGAAGGTAAAATGTCTGTGTTTAGTAACATAATGAAGCCGATACTGTCTGTGCAGCATGTTGAGTCCTCACAAAGAGTTACTGTATTATGGCCACTGGAGTAAAAAAATAGAAACAATTACATTTACATGTGTAGAGACAGAGAGGACATGCTGCTGTTCACTGGACGCATTCACCATTAAAGCAAAAGAGAAAAAAAATAACCAGGGAATTACAACATAAAGAAAAAAAAAGACAATCACACGTTCAATTACACTAAATATAAAGTTGTATCTTGCGAAATGTACAAAAGAGAGTTTAATACAAAAGGGATACGACGGACATCAGTGAAGAGGGAAGAGTTCTGTCACAAAAAAGAAATCGTTCGTTACGCATCGCAACAGTATGGTGGTGCATGACATGAAATAGCTCAAAGTGTTTTCCTATAAGTGTAGTTCACCTTATTGTGGAGAAACAACAACAAACATGGTGACAAATGAATTCACCTCAGCTTTTGGTCCGTCTCGTTACAGTTTTTTCCCTTAACACCCTGCTCTTGTCCAGAAAGCTGGAGGAGACCGAAGGTTGACTCACACAGTCACACGTCACCCTGAGTTTGGAGTCAAATTTGGCAATTATTTCTGAAAATGGCTTTGTCGTTGTTTAAAATACCTTTTTACAAGATAAAATCTTCAGTTAAAGAAGACATCTTTCAATTACATACAACAGAACTGTAGGAAATATTGACTTTTTATATCACAAATACATTGTTACTGTAAAATCTTGTATAAATAGTGGTTCATAAAATGTTTTTAATAAGCCAGAAAAATGCATATCATATCAATACGTTCATGTTTGAGAGGATTTAAAATACAAAATTCTGATTGTTTTTTTACCTGCAAAATGTCACTGGAGATAGTCAATAAAAAAAAAATAAAAAGGGTGCACGGCAGGGAAAGTGGAACACACAAGGATAATTCTCCAGGACATTGGCAAAAGTTTTTCCTCTGGACGAAATTCATTCTTAGCTTGAGAAGAAAATGGTTCTGAGCCCAGGACGTCTTAAAAAGGCAGAGAGAAAAAAAATACTCAATTTACCACATTATTGTGAAAACACATTATAAACAAATGAGTCGATTTAAAACAAAATGGCCTCCTACATTTGAACTACACAATATTGTACAAAATAAGGCATTTCCTTGTGTTTACTGCAATGGATTTATTCAACACCAAGTTTTTTTTTTACTCAGTAAAAACTGAGTACGGATGTGGGTTTGACTACAGTATTTCTGTGTTAAAATATATATAGGTATATTTATATATATATGTATATATATAATTATAATTTCAGTTTTTCTTCCAAACAGGAACAATAAAAAAACAGGTAGGCGAGTACACAGTATGAGAGAGTTTGTACAAGTTCGGGAGAGCAGCGTCATCACTGCCGTTACTCCATGACTTCACCGGTTGCTACTGTGGTTACCAGCTGCAGAGGGATCTCAGCGTTGGCCAGGATGTCCTGGGCGGCGCTGGAGCCCTGCTGGATGTTGGTGAGGATGAGGGTGGTGCCACCCGCCGTCGTGATGATGCTGTCGGAGGAACCCGCCGACTCCACAGGGACCACCACCGAGCTGCCAGAGTTCACGCCTTTTTTATTCTGATGAGTTTTGATGTGCTTGGCCAGGTGGTCGCTTCGCATGAAGCGCTTGGAGCATTCCGGGCAGACGAACTTCTTCTCTCCTGTCAGTCACAAAAATGCAAGTAAATACAAGCTGAGTACATTCGCAGCAGTCATTTGTATGAACCCACTTTGACAAAAAGTCAATGAAAGTATGTTTAATTCAATGAAACACTGAGGTAGAAATAAATGTTTAGTGTTGGTGTATTGATTTATACAATTTAGAAATTAATGCTTGCATACTACAAAAATCCAGGACAAAAAAAACCAAGAGTTTATCGCTTAAAGGCGAAGAAAGAACCTCTCACCATCTACTGTTCAAAATATCACGAAAAGATTCACAGTTGTTGGGAGAAAATTCCAGCACTGGGTCCTCAGCCAGTTTATCTTCAGTGTTTTGGTGGTGGCTGAAGCCAAACCAAGCAGTCATAGAACAACTATTTACACCTTCATTAGCACATATGGTCTATTATGTGTGCATGGCTAGAACCTTAATTATCACAAACAACATTTGTTTACTGCAACACTAACGCTACAGTATGTAAACTTAAGGAACTTGTTCCAGAGTACCACATACCTGACTTTTATTCAGTTAAGCCATAGAAAATGAGACAAACAACTAAAAGACGAGAGTTTTACTAAAGAGTAAAAAACAAAGACTACCAGCCAAACTTTAATCCCTGCTTTTCTTCAGTAACAACCTGCATTGACATTAAAACAAACAACACTGTGCGTTTTACCCTGTGGCAAACTATGGTAACTACAAAGACATATCTTCTAAAATTCAAAGCAGATCAGGTGCTGGTGCAGCTCTGAGGTTGCGTCCACACTTAACAAGGAACCATGGGATATGTATTAAAACCAGAGCCACAGCTAATTAAATTCATCTTTTGTTGTATAATCTGATGGTAACAAATCTTCTTATTTACGGTGCAGAAAACACAGGGTAACTATCACAGCCGGGTCAGTGTAACCTCAGAACATCAAAGTACAATAATCTGTTATCCCAAATTGGCTTTTACATTTGACTGTAGGTGTTTTACTATTTTACTGCTGTTTTGCTGCTGTGCAAACACAGAGTGATGGTTTAAAAAAACAGGGCACCTGTGTGTGTTCTCCGGTGTCTCTGCAGCTCGTCGCTGCGTGTGAACCTCTTCCCACAGAACATCCAGCTGCAGACAAAAGGTCGCTCTCCCGAATGCCAGCGCAGGTGTGCTCGCAGGTGCGATGTCTTCCCATATACTTTCCCACAGCCTGCTATGTGGCAGATGTGCTGCTTCTTCTTCCCCATGCTGGAACCTCTGCAAGAACACATGCACGCACAGTTAGCCTCGTGCAGACACCGGTACCAGTCGTGACATCCCACTGTTTCTACAGCTTCAGGCAAGTTCATTCACGACCTTTTAAATGCACCTTGGAATTTAACAGAACACAGAGTTATTTTGGTGGAGTTAAAAGGTCAGAAGATGAAGTGCAGGTGCTTCAAACTTCAAAACTGGACAGATGTAGAACCACATTAAAGAACATCATCAATTTAGTTCAACGAGTCATACTTAATCACAGAAAATTTGAAAAACAGTCTAAGTTAAGTGAACAGTCTAATGCTTTGTCAGGATGCTGAGAGGAAGGTCATGAAATGGACTTATGGGAGTTAACATACCCTTGATTAGAATTGGAGAAATAATAATTGAGAATTATTCACCTATATATGTCATATGCACTCAGAAATTTGTATTTTTTTATTTTAAAACAACCGTACACATAAAACGATGTGATGAGCTTGATGTAGCCCTCTGGCCTTGAGTTTGACAGATTCAAGCATAGCTGCTGGTACGGTCCATTTAACCTACTGCCTAAATTCTGATCTGCAATTACTTTCTTCTATCTAACAAACTACACTGCTGCGTCATCAGCTGTGTACAACTGCTGCTAACAGTTTCCATATAATTTGTACCTTTAGCCTAATCATTACACATTCTTAGCCTATGAATAATAAAGTTGCTTGTCAAAGAACTAAATATGCATTTCACTCATTAACATCTCATTTCAGTTACAACACTTGTCAAGTAGCTTAAAGGGATGAAAACAAAAACAAACTAACCTTCCACCTGATTCCTTACAGTTGGGGCAGGTACAGGCCACTCTGCGCAGCCTCTTGCCCTCTTGACCTTGCTGATCCTCTTCATCCACCAGCCTGACACGAAGGTGGGACAGATCGCTGGTGTTCAGGGTGGAGTCACTGCTCAGCTGCCAGTCTCCAGAGTCTGGTTCTTCCTTTATATGAATGTCTGAAAGGCACATGTGTGTGATAATACCAAGACCCTTCAATTATGACGTCTCGAGTGACAGGCTGGCAGGAAATTTATCCAGTAAGCATTGATATTAAACACAGTGATAAAATAATTACATGACAAATCAATTATCTCAGTTATAACAGTGAATCTAATGCAGTGTTTCTCAACCATGTTTGAGCCATGGCACACATTTCATTTTATTTGCAGAAAAGTGTAATATTATATAGTTTTAATTCACACATAATTTACCAACTGTTACCGAGTGTGAAACCTGTGCAGTTTATACTTGCAGGAATTGAAGAAAGACAACAGCACTATCTTCTTAGAGAGTCTAGTTTCAATAACCGTTATGCTAGAAATGTCTAAAAGATTCTTGCTTCAAGACAAGTACAGCAACCACTTTTTTCACCGTATGGCCTCTCAAGGGAACATTAGGGAAATACAAATACTTGAAGAGAGGAACTGTACCTCCGCCTCCAGGGACGTCTGTGTCTCCCTCTTGCTGTGAAACCGAGTTAACTGTCACTGTCTGCAGGTTGGGAATCTGTCCTGTGCTGATGTTGGATCCCAGTGACAGGGTCTGGACTGGAGCCAGAGTGATCTGCTGCGGCGGTTGGGTGGGCAGCTGAAGGTTCTGCAGGTTCTGCACTCCCTGCACCTGAAAAGTCTGCCACTGAATCTGGCCTGACGATGTGACTGTCTGGGCTTGGATAATGAAGGTCCCCGGGTTTATTAGCTGCACATTTTGCAGGCTTTGCCCACCTGTTGCTACTGCTTGCATCATCTGACCATTGGTGGTCTGGACCGGAACTGGCTGCAGCTGCAGGATGGGCTGGGCTGAGGACACTTGAATGCTCTGCTCCTGATTCTGTTGGACAAAGCCTTCCTGGAGAACAGAACTTGAGTTGATTTGTTCTGACCCCCCAGATGACAATGAAGAAACCTGTGTCAGTAGACCTGATTGATTTGCTGAAACGTGCAGGTCGGAGGAAGACGTTGGCACATAAATGTTAGCATCTGCATTTGATTCTGTGTCTGGCATTGTCTGTGAGAGGTGTACATCAGTCTTCACTTGATTTTCTGAGCCATCCAAAGAAGAACCTGCCATTATTAGCTGACCATCAGCAGTGACCCCCGTTGCTATCGTTTGAGCTCCAGAAAGGCCCAAAGACTCCAAGTCCAAACTGTTAATAGGAACAAATGTAATATTCCCAGGCAAACCCACAGGCACGTTAGCAACAACCTGACCCTGGTTGTTGAAGGTGGAGCTGCCAAGAGAAACCCCCTGGATGTGCTGGACATTACCAGTCTGTGTTATGAGGCTCTGGTTGTTATTAAGGATGTTTTCAGAAGACGTAACATTGATACTCTGGCCACCATCGGACAAGATCTGAATTTGCCCCGTGGCATCCTGCGCCAGAGTCGCTCCTTCCAAACCAGTTGAGGAGAAGCTCAGCTGTCCATCCGCTGTTTGTATCTGAGGAATTACTTGGTACTGAATGTTAGGCACTGTATTGGCATTGGAGGTGGCTGTTCCCGGCGTCACAAAGATTGGCTGAGTTTGTAAATTCTGAATAGGAAGAACATACTGTCCATTGGATGTTAATATTGGTTGACTTTGGATTTGTATCAACCCAGAATCATCTTTTGTAGTCGTAGGTGTCAAGACCTCCCATTTATCAGTCCCAGTGAGTTGAGAAGAGGAATCTGATGCCTGTGGGAACAATGATCGAAGGAAAAAACAAGCATCAGTGCCACAAAAAAATTATGATCATCAGTTATCAACTGCAGCCTTTTTTTCCTATTTCCCAGTGACGACTAAGAAAGTGGCAGTAATGCAGATGTTAAAATCTAATGAGGCAACAGCCAGAAGGGCAATGGAAGGATGAGCTTAACTTTCAAAACTCGGAGGAGGCTGACTATATTATGAATATTATTGCTATTATTATTTAAATAATGAATAATTAAATGTATGTCACTTTAAACACTGCTAAAGCTGTACAGCTTCAGGGAACAACATAGGGTCTGTGCTATATTTAGCTGACCAGTTGTAGAAAAACCTAGAGAAATCTGACTTTACACAACCGTCTGGAGGTGTATCTCTTATACAACAGAAAATGAGCAAATGCATTTCTCGTTCCTGTGGAAAAAGGGAAATTTTGCACGAGCCCCACTCTTGAACCAGGAAACTACATCTGCTTTCAAAGAACACCGGTAGGCGAGGGAGGGAATGTATGTAACAAAACAGTAAGCTAACATTGCTACATTCTTTTTCTTTTGAACACAATACAAAACTAAGTATGCACATGTTTTAATGCCTGGTGGGAAACAATGTTGCCAACAGTTCACACAATAGGCAGCAAAACAATGGGAAGCAAAATGCATTTAATTCTCACTGGTCTAAACTAACATCAGAATTTGGGTAAACACTGCTGATTTATGCTAATTTTAATTGATCACAAAGCTAATTCAAACAAGGCTGGAAATATGTTGTGTGAAACACTATTTTAGAACAATAAACATCTAAATGAAGTCTATTTACTGTGTAAATAACAACTTCTCTTCTCTGTTTAAGTATTTTGATTTGTGTCTCTGACCATGTGTTAGCTGCATTACAAACACGTCTTGGTGCCACTAACTGGAAGGAAGACAACATGAAAACATGTTGATTTTATTATTGAAATGAATCCAAATGTCACACCCTCATTTAGCATTATAAACATGTCTCAGGTAATTTCAACTAATTGAAAATGTCCATCCACTTGCATTTTGAATGCAATAGTTTATTCCTGTAAAAACACTGTCAGATTGTTTAAATAAACAATAAAAAGATATCTGCCAATATCCTGCCGGATTAGGATAAATACTATTACGTGAGGTACATCTTTATAATGAGTGGTCAATTTGTAGGCTTGAATGCTAAATGTATTGCTTGCTCTTTTACATAAAAGCATTGACTAGGTTAATATTATTGTTAAACAATGGTGTTGTCACAAGGACAACTCATGGGCATTCAAAACATATTTCTCCCTGCAGGGTGGGGAAGGGCAGCTGCATGCTCTTTATTTGTACACAATAAAGACAGCTGTTGAAAGATCTTTAAACAAAAAGAGTGGTGTGGCTATAGCCATAGGGACAAGTGAGCCAAAGATGAGCTGTTTGCGTGTCTGACTCTTTAAAATTGTTTATTCAATACAATTCAATTACCAACTTATTATGCAGCTAATTGGTGTTAAAAAACAGTTGTTGTGAAGCACTTCATCTTAAATTCAAGAACCAGTTGTCATTGTGTCAGTTGCTGACAGGCAGCTGTGATGACAGGACTGCCCAGCTAAAAATTGTGTAAAACTCCATGTTTCTGTTGAACTACACACAAAGCCATTCCTTGATACCAACATTTGGAAATGTACTGCTGACAAACATAAGCTCTACCATGGTTAATGTTACTTGAACTAAGCTAATCCTACTATTCCTATTACCTTTTGTTTATAACAACACCTTTATATTAATTATGGTTTTGAACCTCCACCTGCTGCACCAGGTCTGCTGAAGACACAAAAAGGGCAAAGGGCTTATTTATAAAAACAAACACAATGTAACATCAAAAACAAAGCTTTCCAACTTCCTGTAATCTTTACAATAAACGCAGGTTCCAATGTTACCAGACTTGTTGTTAATCGTATTAGTAGTTGGAACAAAGAACATCTTTAGAAAAAAAACATGATTATGTAATTAGTACTTACATCTTTACAAAACCTAATCGACAATGACAACTTTTAGTATAGACGACACAAAGAGTTTTACTTCTAACACAAGACCGATGTATAAAACCCGGATATCGAAGGACTGTTGTTGCTGCTGTCTGTTGTTGGTCACCCAGGCCGCAGTCAAGTTAAACCTGCTGATGTAAAGGACTGGCCTGTCACTTCTATCCCAGCCGAGGAGGCGGGATTAGAAAGCTGCCTGAGACGAAGTGTCTTCTGAGAGGTTCAGATCAGGGTACAATACCCACCTCCAAGTTTGAAATGTGTGAACTTCGGTGAGCGCCAGTGAGCAGCTACTGAAAACGACAGTAGCTGCGACGCAAAATGAGTGCTAATCCCGAGAGTGAAGTTTTACCTGGCTGCCACCGCTTTCCTCCTGCTGCTGCAGAAAGTCGCTTTGACTATTGTCCCCTTCTGAGGCAGCCATATCCCCAGGCTTCAGTGGCTGGTCTGGGGCTAAGTGGTTAAAAAAAAAAGCATTAAGGTTACTGAGTGTTAGCAGTCGATGCTAATGTAGACCTAACCAAACACACACAGTAAATGTGTAACGTTTCTGCAGTGTTGCTGTATTAGCTTTCAATAGACAACATCATAAATACGACATTCGATAAAAATAAAAATTGTATAAGAATAGTTCACTTGAAGGGGACGCATTTGCGCTCCGTAGGGTAAGCTAGGTTAACAGCTAAGCTAGTTAGCCAGCGGTGATTAGCATTATCACAAACAGTCATCAGCGCTAAGCTAATACAAGCAGAGGATGCCTGAGTTAGACTGTTAGCTGTATCGATGGCAAAGACTAAGAGAGATGTTACATACCAGTCATTGCGTGACTCGTCGGGATATACGGAGTCCGGCCGTCACAAGCCACCAGTCATTTTCAATAAATTATATCGATTGCATTCGCGTTAAAATCAGGTGATACTGTCAGATTTCTTTGTATTTTGATTGACGGGCGCTGGATAACACAAAGGGTGGGGCCTCCACTGTTGACTAGGAGTGCTTACGTCACTCACAGGAAGTCCCGCCTATATTTAGCAAAATTATTTGTCACTTGCTTCACAAGTCGTACAGTGATTGGCGACTCTGTCTGTCAGTGCTCTTTTGTCGTAGTCTTCCTGTTTATTATGCTTTTTAATTTTTTTTTACAGGATTGGCGATGTGGCTATAGTAACACTGTGTACTTTCAAGCGCCTTGTTGTGGGCGAATTGTTGTTCTTACAGAAGGTAGCTTATATAGATATTTTCCATAATGTTGTCGAGAGCCAGATTTTTATTTAGACATTCATAATCCACACTTTTGCTGTTATTCAAGTACATATATATTTTTAGTATTTATACAGCAACACGGTCATGTCAAGTCTTTATGCACCTGTAAAAGGTTTTTCTGCAGTTTAAAGTTATAAGAGTCCTGTCATAAACATCTCACAATAATTATAGTGACAAGAGAAAAACAAAGAAAACAAAAGAATGATAAATGTGTGTGTGGTCATAAGGAGCAAAAATGTAATAAAATAATCACAATTTCATGATATAATAAGATGAAAATGAGTTGTTCTTTAACTGCATCCAATATGATACGTCTCAAATCTTGACCTGTTGCATAGATACAGTACAATTCAGGAAGTTGCACAATAGCACTAGCCACAAACCATTGCTCAGTTCTGCTTCTACTTACACCCATTAAGCCTATACAAAGGATTGGTCAAAGTCATAATTGTGTTGTTTACAAAGCTAATGTCAGAATTAGGAAAGGGGCAATAATATAACAAAAATCTAAATTTAAAAGAAGTTTAACACCAGAACTTCAATGGTAGAAATTTGTGTAATGATGTTCAGTTGCATATTAAATGCATTCCCCTACATTGTATGCAGAAAAACAAAAACAAAAACAAAAAACAACACAGAAAATAAAATATTCTGAAGCATTTTACTTTCCCAACAGAAATGCAAAAAGTAAAAAAATAAATAAAAATAGCATTAATTAATTTGTCACTTTTTGTGCAAGTGTCTGAATATTTAGAACAATCTTGATCGTAGTGTTTTGTGAATTGATGCACAACTGTTACAGTCAGTTACACAGATGAACCCTATTGTGTTAATGTACATTAACACTGAAACACAGAAAAACACTAAATCACTAAACATTTGACTTCAACAGAAATGTAAAAAGTATTTAAAAGAAGAGCTGCACGGAACACAGGTTTACGCCATTGGTGGCTTTGATATCTTTCTGTCGCTGTCGTGTGATTTTAGAGTCAGCAGTGGCTTTGATCGTCCTGTGAATTTTAAAAGTGATCAGCAATTGAGTATTAAGATGATTACGAAAAGGCAAACACACAATCAGACATGACCTGAGTTTGCATCTGATGGAGTGTGTCTTCCTCTCCATTTGATTGGGCACATTAGAACATTGTGGAAGTGCATTGAAATGAGAACCTACATGCCATTGTACCTGAGCTGTGCTTGCGATGCTATCAGGACCCCATTTCTGAGTATTATTTGTGGTGTGTCAGTTCCTCACAGCGAGCGACTGCAGTGAGGCTATTTCTCTCAACCTTCAATTCAAACTTGGCCCATTACAGCCAGACTACAAAAGCACTTTCTGTGCACTCAGGAGCTCACGGCAGTGAATGGTGGATATTTCCAATCACTCTGCTGTCAATCCAAGTGTCAGGTAAACACAGGCCAATGGAAATAGCTTTAGAAAACCTTGCAGCTATGTGTGCCGTCCTGCAGGAGTCCTTGGAAACATACCAACATTTCTACAAAGACCTCCAAGTTAAAGTTAAAAGTCAAATATCCTAAAAGCACCGACCTGCACACACAGCTGCGTAGCTTCTGCTGGTGTTTGGCTGAGGACCTTTCTACAGTGCGGGCAAGAGAGAAAAAGGTATCTGTATCTGAAGACCTTCAGTTCGCAGTGTGTGACGATTTGGTCGAACGGTCAGCAGAGTAATCACCTAACTGTGTATTAGCCCATGAAGACACTGATTCCTTGGACCAGTGGTTCTCAAACTGGTATATGCACTACTGGTATTGTAACACCTACAATACTGTATAGTAACATCAAGATAAGGATGGTAATCTGCAGCTGTTTCTTCACATAGCACATGGCTACAGCAGAGTTAAAAGGAAATTGTCAGATGCAGATGAATGCCAGTGATGCCTTCACTGTCCTAGGAAAAGGTTAGATTTATCTTTATGCTAACAGCTTGAACCATAACAGCTGATGGTGATACCCACGAATTGCAGTTCATGCATTATACACACACACTGACCCATTCAACGACGTATACACTGAGCCCAGTCTATCGCTTAAAGTTATAACATTTTGCTTACTGAAGGCATCACTGAAGCTCATGTTAACATTTTTTTGGGGAGTTTGGATTTCCTCCTCGCCCCAAAACGGGTGCCCATTCCTCACTTTGGGAACCACTGGTTTAGGTGATATGAGTAGGGTTAGCCATGACATTTCAAATGACATGTGCACTTTCTAACTTAACCTTTACTTTTATATGTTTTGTGGAAGAATTAAAACAAAATAATACTACAATACTACCACTACTACCACTACCACTACTACTACTACTACTACTACTGATAATAATAATAATAATAACAATAATAATAATGTGTTATTTAAACAGTATGAACCATCTAGATCAACAGGGACAGTACATTGTAACACAACAATATCAGTGACTGCAAGATTTGGGTTCATGTTATACTGTATCTTATACTACAGGTCAGTGTTGCAGCTGCAGAGTGAGGCTCAGAGAAGTCAGTGAACAACACTTCTGAGTATGAGTTCACATTAACATATTGAGAGTTGTTGTTTCTTTGAGGCCAGTACAAGAAGAAGTGACCCCATGGCGAGAAACTGCCCTGCTGGAGGCACCATGTGGGACACTGTAAATGGCCTGAGGGAGAAAATTGAAACTTGTGGATCGAGAAGTGTGGCTGGAATATAAAAATGTGCCGAATGAAGCACTTGAGAAACGAGCCATTGTGCAGCCGTTGGGTGCAGAGACGTGGTGATTGTACAGAAGGACGAGGTCTGTCAAAGCCACAGGCTTTTACTGTGACGGACAGATGTATTTACATTTAGCAGCAAATCAGAACTTAATTTATTAAGGCTGAATAACCTCCCTAGACAATGCATACGGAGTGACGATCATAAATATGTTTACACACATAAACACAAAGACAACCAATAGTGTCTTCAGTGACGAAACGTGTGGTCTGTTTGTGGAATGCAGCGAAAGAAGAATGTGCGGCAGAACCGAGGACACTGAATAAATCTGTCATGTCATAAATTCTTTTATATACAGAGATCAGCCATGTGTGTGAATGTGTAAATGTGGATTAACAAGCTTAGTCACCCAGAAAAACATGGCTGTTTCATTTTCCTACAAACCCTGGGAAATGTTGTATACAGTACATGTATCAATCATTTAATTATTTGTCCATGTGAATTATTTTCCTGAGGGGATTTAGAGAGCATTTTGATTAAATATTGTAACAGTATTTTGGATATATTTTTAAGCTAATTTAAGTGCATAGTTGTCTAACTTGAAGCTAAATGTTTCTTCAGATTTATTGTCTTTAAACCACATCAAGGCAAACTGGACAAGGTTAATTCATCTAAGTGATCTTTGAGCAATTTTGTGAGTTTTTGTTAATTTTGGGGCAATTATGTTCATTTTTGGAAATCCTTTTGATTGTTTGTCTATTGTGGCTAACTTTTATATACATATTTATATACAGATATCCCTTATTGATTACTATAGTCTCATTTTCAAAATATTTAAAAATATAACTTTTTACATTGTTCTGTTGTCAAGCTTACTCAAGTTTTTACATTGTTCTGTTGTCAAGCTTACAGCAGTGCCCCTAAAATGGCCGCCTGCAGTTTGCATGTGGCCCACATCACAAACTGCCTATTCGCCGACCACAAGCTGAAAGTAGCTCAACTGTGTGTGCTTTGGTTGGTCAGCCGTTAACTGGCTGTCATCTCCATGCTAATCATGTGCTGATGGGCTGTTAGAGAGAACTCACTTTTATGGTGTATACGTTGTATGTGGGATACTGTTTTATTTTTGGCTTTTTTGTTGTAGCTTTATTGGCTAACTTTTAGCCATTACTGAGTTCAGTTTTACTTCACTTTCTTTCTTACATTCCAGCATTTTATTTATATATTTTGAAAAATCTGACCCATCATGTTATTTCATTTAAAGTTAAAACCATATCAACCTGATCATATGCACTTCCACACGTTCACTTTTTAAAGTTTTATCGATCTAAAACTTTTGGATATTTTTAAAATAATTGATTGTGGCTTTTTCTTTTTTTAAGAAAGTCCAGAATTGTTAGGTATTAAGTATTTCTAGCAGTAAATGAAATCTTGGTATGGGCTGATAGCACGATCGTTGAACAAGAGGAAATCTATGTCAAGTCACAAAACTACTTTTTTTGTCAGATCCTGAGTCTATATTAATGTCATGTTTATTCAGCGTGTAATCTGCAGCACAAACGTCAGACAGACGAGATACAAAATGACAGTAATTACAACATGACAACACTTGACTATTGTCATCCAAAATAGCCTCAACTTCCACTCTGTAATAACGTCCTACAATGCATTTATAATAACATTTAATTTCTCAACACAATCCCATGTGTGCAGTCACTGCTGCAGTTATTTATATGTGTTAACTTGTACATTCCTCTCTGATGCCTGAAAACTCTTTGGTGTCTGTGTGTGATTTATGAAAACACACTCACATGGAGTGAGCTTCTCTCTCTGTCCATTTGGTTGGGATGCCACTGTGGTTTTCCTTCAGGGCAGAGTGGCACCGAGTGATTGATGTGCTGACGGACCATTTGTATCATCGGCAAATCCGTCACATTCCCGCGCTTGTTTTAATTTCCACCGAGGCTACAGTGTAAAATATGAAACCACTTTTATTGTCCACCTACATCAAATTATTGCATTCATTTGTGTTCATTGTGTTTGCGTGTTTATTCTGAAATGCTTTTGATGAAACCAAGATATAAAGGGCTCACAATAATCTTTATTACTCGCTTAATTTGTAATTTATTGTCACTTATATGAAAAACAAAATTCTCCACAGCCCAGACCACTGGGGACAACTTGTCACTGTGTGAATCTCATGGCTACAGCACATGAGTAATGTGGCATTTAGGTTGGCCACCACCACCACCACCACCCAGAGAAGAATGCAAAAACAGTTTGGTCTCAGGCCGCCATTGTGTTCTCCGGAGGGTTTGTATGGTTTCACTTAGAAAACAAGCCTGTTGTTGAGCGCAGGACACTGTAGTCTGGGTGAAGCAATGCCTTCTACTGACTTGATGCATGACATTTTCTTGAGTGATTAAACCAGTGCATATTGCTGCAGCGAAACCCAGCTTAATTTTAGTTGATGCACACGATTTCTCTTCTCTCTCGTTCCGCCGCACCACAATAAACACCATCCTATATTTTGCCACTGATCTCGCACCTTAAAGACTATAATCCATACCATTTCCATGACAAACACTGTGCTTTGTGGTGCCGGCGCAGGCTCGACTCTATAAAACATCCCATCCAAGAAAGCTGGCATGTAGAATACTACGGCCGTAAAAATCACCATTTTTATTCAATCTTTTTGTTCCCGTCAAAAAGCCATTTTGTTCTCAGCAATCTTAATGGTTAGGAGGTTTCAGCACAGCACTGCTGATCTACGGCTCTTTGCCCAGACTCCTGTGGAGAATACAATCTGACTTTGGAGCACCGCGGCTGCAGGCGCACAATTCCATCAGCATAAACGCTTCACAAACACTTATACACAAAGTATAAGGAGGAGAAAAACAGTACTTCAGACAACGGGAAGTGTTGGCGGCTGTGCCGACGAGTCCTATACCATAAAATATATCAGAAATGTAGAGGTTTTTGAGAAAATGTTTGACTGAAGATTGTCATCCTATTTTTGACAGTGTTTATTTTGTCTCATGCTAAAAGAGAAGGGGAGGTAAATATAATGGATTAAAGATGATGAAAGACGTCTTTGTCCATATTGGATCTCAACAGAGAGAGCTGTAATCAGTCAAACTTAACATTTAAAGTTTTGGAATCAATAAGGTGGTTTTTCCAAATCTTTTTCTTTCAGGTGATCGACAGATTCTTGATGACAACAAACCGCTGAGATACAAGCTCATATAATATAATTGAAATAATCGGTTTAAATAAAAATAAAAAAATAACAGAAGAAGTCATTGTAAATATATTGTAAATATGTAGAATATTTTTAAGGCTTTTTAAGTGATTTTTTTTTTTGGTCACTAAACCGTGGCTCCTGAGCCACATACGTCTCTTTAGCCTCGTTATAACCACCTCCTGAATCGACCCCTGACTGTTCGTAACAACCTGATGTGGTAGACCAATATTTAAAGTGGATATCAGACAGGAAGGACCTGGCTTTTTTTAGTCACAAAAACTAATGTTAAAACAATCGTACACGTACATTTTCAGGTTGTTGCTAACAGCAAAACAACATGACGGTACTGTCCGTTTAACTCAAGGTCAGACATTTGAAGAGTGATTAATTGTCATGCCTTACAGCGAGAAGGTCAACAGTTCCATCCCCAGGGGTAACTGATGGTATTGTATGTCTCCCTGTGATAGACTAGTCAACTGTCCAGAGTGTAACTCCGTCCTCATCCGATGACTGCTGAAATTGGCTCCAGCGCCACCTACAGACCTGGAAGGAGATGAATGAATGAATAATAATATTCACACATTTAATATGCCGTGATTCACATCTCCTGACTACTATAGTATTTAATACATAACACTACGACCTCAGTTCGCTTTAAGGAAAAAAATGTGAACCATAATATTCAGTCTGTCTCACTCCAGACAACAAGGTAAAATGTCATAACCATCTATACAGTAATATAAATGAATGACATCAATAAAATGTTTTTTCTACATTTTCACTCACACTCACGTTCAGTGACCGGCTTCCTTCGGCCAAATGAAGCTGCATTCATCCTGTGACCTTAAAGGATTTAATTATAACTGTCCCCACTGTGCTACAGTCAATGTCAGCTGTGTCTTTTAATTTTCTAATCAGTGGACGGCAGGACTGCTATCACTGTCCCCATGCAGCTCTGCACTCGACACAGACATCCCAAAACACACACAGGCTGGTTTTGTCAAATGTTTTATTGAGTGTAGACATCTGGGCTACTGTAAAACATGCATTATCTGCAGCAGGGGGAGAGGAGCAGGTGGCATTGTCCCCGCTGTCAGCTGTGTCACTGCTGGCACCCGTGATGGAGATTAATGAAGTATCTGGAGAGTAATACGCTCCTTCAAATGCTGCTACAATTTGGAGTGGGGGCTGATCCTGATCTTAAATAGCAAAGCTGTCAGAATTTACTGAACCTGCGCCTTGGCACATGAGGAGGGACCGGAGCCTCACAGGTCCAGGGAAAATGAAGTGGCAGTGATGCCTCAGCCAGAGGAGGTGCTAACAATACAGTCAGTTACATAAACAAACTGATTGTTCCTGCGTCACTTCTTCTTTGGTGCATTGGGTGCATTGAATTTGAAGAAGATGATGTCTCCATCCTCCACAATGTAGTTTCGTCCCTGCTGTCTGTATTTCCCAGCTGCCTGTAAGATAACACACACACACACACACACACAGAGAGAGGCACAGAATAAAGAGCCAACAATTGCCCAACAGACAAAAAACATTTTCAGCAGACACTTTTGAGAGTTGTGTACATTTGTCTAGTTTTAGTTGGAGACAGTTGTGGCCCATAAAACTACTCGTCTGTGCTGTAATAATGTAGGCATTAAAACAACAGCACTGGTTCCTGATGAGTTGAATTAGTCCTGACAAAAACGTCAGTTCAGCAGCAGTTCATGTTGGTACACATTCATTTATATATATGTCCGATGTCTAACTAACAAACCTACTGACGTTAAATTAACGTTTAAGATAGAGTCTGCTGGTATTTTCCCTAAAACATAAACCAAAAAATCACACCTGAATAAACCCTCAATGTCTGGTCCAGTGTATGATGGTCACCGTGAGCGTCTGCCAAACCTTAGTTTTTCTTAGTTTCTCTTTCCATTACTTTTGCAAATGAAGCCTACACCCAGCAGGTGGCAGTAATGAAAGTTAAAGCATGTCAACTGCCTTTGAAACCCAACGAATCAATAACAGGATTAGTTCTTTAAGTTACTGTACACCACAAGGCATTAACTCTTTTAACATTTAACATTTGTCTGGGTTGGAAAGTGCAGTTTTTCGACTCATTGATCATCCAAACAAATCTCAAAAAGCCAAATTTATTATTTAGAAGAAGAGGATTAGATTAAAAAACAATGTACTATAACAGTCAAGTCAACAAAGATATTCAGTCTGAGCTAATAGCGTCACCTGCAGGTGGGCAGAGAAGGTTTTATTTTCCTTTAATAGTTAGAAATATCTGCATTTTTGTCCAATTTCAGCGCTTCACATATACACAATGGGTTCAATCTCTTTACTATGAGATAAACTAAATACATGCCTAATCTCAATCTACACCCTAACTCTAATCTGACTCTTATTGTAATCCTAGCTTCATAAAAAAAAAAAACATACAAAATACTTATTGGGGACCTATAAAATGTCCACAAAAAGACAAAGTGTCAGCAGGACTATGGTTTTTTGTCCAAACAAGTGTGGCTATACTACACTCACACACACACACTGTTCGAGGGGTGACTACAAATCCCACAGAGAGAAATAATCCTCCTCTCCGGCTCATTTGGGCTTCATGTACACAAGCACAAAATGGTAATAAGGCTTTGATGACGGCACTGTCTCGAGGAAACTAAATAAGTTCTAACATTTCTTTTGTAAATACAGTAAGTGTTTGGTCTCCGTGGCGGCACACTGAAAATAATTGACTTGAAGTGCTAATATGGACAGGTTTATGCATTCTGGTTCTGCACGGCGCACAATTAATTAGAAGAATCAATGTCCCCTTAAAGACTCAGGAGACCATTTAATCCAAGCTCAATACCAGCAGAAACAGTGGAGGGGGCACAGGGTGGAGGGGGGGCGAGGAGGAAAATCAATGGCTATTTGTGATTCCTGAGTATGTATTAAACCAGACATGTCTAACTGGTTCATTTGCACTTGAAAGCAGCCATCTGGAGCAGCAAGCTTGGCTTAAGCAGATATGATTACTAATAATGTGATATCCTCGTACACTGGCCCCATTCACTCTGCCTATTCCCACTACTGGCATTAAGTAGCAGGGACCTTAACACCACAGTCAGAAATGCTCCATGTTCTTATGAGGCTCAAAAAGGGATTAGTAAAAGAGCATGCAGTGAGGAGCTGACACTCAGATCAGAACCTCAGATAACAATGGCCAAACCCCCAGAGACCCACACGCTTTCAGCCTCTGTCTGCTGCTCATGAGGGGTGTGGACAATACACTGCTGCTGCATTAAAATATTAAATGCTTATTGAAAAAAGAAACACATCTTGAACAGTGGCTGGGGATTTGAATGTTGTCACAGTGCTCCCTGCAGGTCCTCCTGTGTCACTGTGATTGCATTAGCTTAGAGACTGGGGGCATCACTGTATTAGTCAGGTTATCTCCTGACTTCATCTAACCAAGACAACCCATAATAGTCATCATCATCGTCATCATCATCACCATCATTAAATTAAATGTAGTTTATGGTCGAAATATGTCTAGTGGGTGGCACTAAAGGGACTCAAGGGATGCACTTCCAACTTAATAGGGCTTAAAAGATTCAGTGGCACTGCCCTCTGTTGTCATTTTTTTTTCAAGGTGTTTGGGACATTTCTGGGACATCTCTTTACCATGGAAAAAGTGTCCAGTAGGTGGCACCAATGGGGCTCACAGAATGTAGTTCAAACTTAAATAAGTAGAACATGAACCAAATTTGAATCGACTTTGCCAAAAAAAAAAGTTTTTATACTTTAGATAAATAATTTATGGATCCAAATATTGCACAATTGTAACATTTGTTGCAACGTTTTGGAGGTGTACAGCGTCACAAAAAAGTTGAGGCCGAGTTGTAGCTAATTCTTGTTTTTGGGCATGGACAGGTCTTTAAAACTGTATCTCTTCATACATCACTGACTAATACGACGCAACGTTGAATATCAATCATATAATAGCCCGTGAAAACTTAATGTGAATGAATTTGTTGTGAAGCGTTCTCATCCTATGTGCTTCAGCAGGTGCCCGCTTGGTGTCCTCACAAATTTACCATGAAACCAGTGATTAAATTTAACAGGGCCGTGCACACAAACAACCCACGGCTCAGTTAAGTGTGGGAACAAACACGTGCTATCACCAGAAGTGAGATGTTCAAGTCCCATTTACGTGCTACACCGCCATGTAACAGTTCCTCATACGAGGAATTTTACACTTTATTTAACTTGCCGCTTTAAATCACTGTCACGGGGCTGCAGTGGCGGCGGTGAGCCGGAGGTGAACGGCCTAGTCTATAGATCTGGTGAATGCCTGAAGAGGAGAAGAAACGCTCTGGGTCTGAAAAGCTGCACACAGTCACCATCAGCCAGTTAAGACACATTGTGATAAAGATATGCACAGCTGGAGCAGAATGGCAGTGTTTAGAGCCAGAATCAGCTGGCTTGTCAGGAGTGCTGCTGGAGTGTGTGCAGTAATTTCTTCCCCTGAGTAAAGGTGAGGAGCCGTCTGCAGACGGAGCAGTGTGGCGACTGTCAGCTCCACAGATCACAGGAGACTTCCCCTCATCTCCTCCGAAACCCTGACTGCTCACCTTGACGGCGTTCTCACTGCCTTCCTCTTTAAAATCCTGGAATTTCATTACTTCCGCCATAATGAAGCCCTTCTCGAAGTCTGTGTGGATCTTGCCCGCAGCCTGTGGAGCCTTAGTTCCTTTCTGTCACAGAGAGAGAGAGAAAAAAGGAAAGAGAGGACAAATGAATTGTTTTGGAGAAGATGGATTACAGCATGCAAGAGACATGGTGTTTGATAGGCTGATAGCATAGCGAACACCACTCTGGGGTGTTTTCAGTCTGGGGGGGGGGTCCTTTGCCTCAGTCCTGATTTCTGGATAGCTTTCCACTCGGCCGTGCCCTGCTAGAGCAGCCGGGCCCTGATAAGGACCCAGGAACTGCTATCAATGCCTTCTGATTCCCATTCCGTGGTTGTATTGATTTCTGTCCAAGCAATCTTGTCTCATTGTGGGTCGCTGCCCAACTCTCTGGTCATGATGGCAACAAGAGCTGCTGTTGCAGAGAAAGGCCAAAGTGATACAGACTTTATCACCAGGCCTCACAGTTGTACAGAGTTTGGTTAATGCTACAGTGTGGGAGGAGAAGTGTGTCTAAAGTTTGGTTCAGGAGCCAAAAGTAGAACTGGCAGATTTTAGTGTTTGAAAATGGGTTTCTTTTGAATTAATTATTCCTTTGAACAAGTTAGGAGGGAAGCATTTTATTGATGTTTGGTCAATTAGTTTGGTTGAAGTTGAATTTTATTTTCTTTGAAATGTTTATCTATTTCAGCTACATTTGAACAATGATTTTTGTTACTAGCTCTAAACTCTTCCATTTCTGGGATATAACTTACAGTATTGGCTAAAATCACTTGTCAAGCTAGCTTTAGCTACTTCTGGGCTAACTCAGCCATCGTTGAGCCTTACTTCCACCTAATTTACTCCTTTTGACTTTTGACAAACCTAAGATTTTTCATAACCCCATAGTGATTATATGGCATAAAACATTTGAATATATATATTTGGATGTTTACTTTTTGACCATACACAAGTCCTAGAAAAGATGCAAAATAAAAGATGGAATACGTAAAAACTGGTGGGTGGAAAAATGTTTCATCAATTACCTAAATATCATGAACTGTATCTGAGAAGAACTAAAAATGAATCAATACTTCTTAAAAATGTCTTAGTCTCTAATGTGTCCATTACTCACTGATAAGTTATCCAATCCCAATGCAATAAAATAAGAGTGGACTGAAAAGACAAAGGGGTGAAATAAATGTTCTTCTGTGTTCTGTGTGACTCCTGCCTGTCGACCTGCTCTCAGCTCCGCGGCTCCTCAGCTCTGTGCTCGTGTTGAGCACTTTTAATTATGTATATAATCAGGTTGGGGTCAACATATTTCATGCCAAAAGAATGATGTGTATTTAATGACCCCAATATATTATCATCTCTTTGCAATCTGGTTGACAGAGTGCCTGTGAGTTAAACTGCTATTAATCAGCATCAAGGTTTGTCTGTGTGGAGAAAAATAGATTAAGGGACCTTTTTTTTTCGTCATTCGGTGCATTACAAGAGAAGCACATTGTCCTAGTTAAGAGCCATGCAGAGCAGGCTGATAGATAATGGTCACCTCGAGGCTGCCTAATAAACCATGGTAAAGGACTTAGGAACACGACATTACAGAGTGTAGTTTTTACAACGCAAGATGTATTGGCTTAATACAGTTACTCACTGATGCTTACCTGACTAAATGCATCTCACATACAATCGAGGCTGGTCGTAATCTGTCATGTGGAGGAGGACGACGATGACGAGTGTGTTTTTGAGGACGCCTTTGAAGTGTTGGGAGACTTTCTGGGTAAATACCAAGGACATCGTTCATGCGGGGATGAGTGTGTGCGTGAACCTGGGTGATGTCATTAGACTTCAATGTAGTGAGCCTTGTGTTTAACAGAGGAGTGAGCTCATCTTCTGTCTGGTTGGAAAAAATAAAAAATCCTGCGATCTTGGTCCTAAACAGCAGGTACTGCTTTGAAAGAATATCTACAACAACTGTCAGTTTGTTTAAACTGTTACATTTTGTTGATGGAATTTCTGTTTTTGAGAACAGTTTTTTGTTTATGAAGAGCTTTAGTCTACATATTTTTTCATATGCCATTATTAGGGTCAGAGTTAGGGTTTAAGAAAACAAAAAGTTCAGGAGGATGACATTGCAAAAGATTAAGTCCATACCTGGTTTACTTATAAATTAATTTTATGTTTCTATTTATTTCTATTTATTCATTATAGTTTCTGTTATTATTGTCAGGAAAATGTACTTCTTGCCCCTCCTAAGACAGTGTCCTTCAAATAAAGAAACAGGGCCAGGGCTGCGACTCTTAAAGATGACAAGTTAAAATGTGCCCAGACTAATTGACCGCTAGTTACTAGTTACTAGTGGTAACTAATAAAATATGTTTATTAAATTACAGCCAAATCTGCAGATATAATAAAGTCATTTCTTTAGAGAAATATCTATAAGCACTACTGGTGTAGTATATATAGTAATTACATTTTTTATAATTTATTTTACTAATGTATATTATTATTCTATTTATTTTAAGAGCTTTAAAGAGTCTCTACATGCGAGTTTTCTTTGTGTTTGTGGTGCAGTACCTCATTGTGTCTGCACTCGATTCTTCTATTTACTCAAGAACGAAGAAGAAAACACAATAACAGCATGCAAAGCCAACATCTGTATTGATGTAAGCCCTATACGATCACGTTGCACAAAGGTCTTGGCGGGCCGGGCTCGGTAAACTGAGACACACAGGGAGGAGGAGCCCCCAGCAAGGCCCGCAAACAGTGGAATGAAAAGCGACATCAATTTTGGCACAGACAGCCTCCGTCACACAGATTAGGCAGGCACAATGCACGGGCTCCTTATCTCCAGCGGCAGGAGGAGGGCAGGCTGATCTGCACAGGATGGAAACATTCTCATGGACGTAATGGGCAAAATCAATTGTTGCCCTACTCAATCAATGTAGCCCCCACTTTCACTGTTGAGCAGCCCAGCAGTAATTGAAGTTATCCTCGGCCTGTAATGACCAGCTAACGCACAACCATGACAAAGTTGGAAAATGTGTGATATCAGAGAGGCTGCCAGCAGGCCGGAACCTGGGACCCTGGGTGTAATCCCTTATGTGTAGCTGCAGTATTTATTTATATACAGTATATACTGTATGTGTCTGTGCGTGACACTGTCCCTGTGATGTATATGTGGACAGCAGTGAAGTGACTCTTACCCGTATGGTCCACGCGCGGACCTCGTCTGGTCCACAGGTGAAGAAGTACTCCAGCTGCAGAACTGCGTAGCCTGCCTTGATGATCTTGCTCATGGCACTGGTGGAGAGAAAATGTAGTCATGGGTTGGCTTAATGTACACTCAGTGGGGTTTAGCGACATCTAGTGGCAGAGGTGGGTGTTTAAGTCCTGTCCTGACATGCAGTAAAACACATGGCAGAAGACTAGAAGTCAGTGGTTTCAGTGACTCACCGTCTGTGGACAGGTCGAAATTCATTTCCATCTTATACAGAGGGAAGCTGAGTCTAAACCAGGGGTGTCAAACTCATGTTGGTTCACGGGCTACACGCAAACTAATTAGCTGTCAAGTGGGCCGGACCAGCACAATCATCAGCAGTGGAATCGTAATAATAATTAACTATAAATAACAAACCAGGTCTCCCCTTTGTTTTCATGCAAAAACATACAAGTTATTTAGATATTTATTATTTATTCATATTTAATGAAATATAATTTTTCAAAAAATATCTCAAACCTGAAGTGTATTTTTTTATTTTCAAAATTCTTCAAGCGGGCCAGACTGAACTGCCAAGCGGGCCGATTTCGGCCCCCAGGCCGTATTTTTGACATTTTGGTTCTCAAAGTAGGGGGCGGACCCCCAGGGATTGGAAAAATGTTGTACTGGGGGATTAGGAAGGCAATTTCAATATTGTCTTCATTTATTCCACAGTTTGGTAATTTTTTTGCATGAGATTATGTTTTCTAGGAACGAAAGTGTTGTTCATTTTGAGATTAGAAGCCATTTCTGTAAAAGTGTCACTCTGAAGAGGTGCAATAACAGTCTACACAAGAGGGCGCTGAAGGTTGGAAACTAGTGTCTCAACTTGATCCTTAAGGGAAACTCCAATAATGTGAAACAATTTCAGTTTAACTTTGCTAATAGTTTACATTCAAAAATACATATTTGAATTTATCTCCTCTTTTTATTTTTATTTATATATATTATCCTTGGGGAGTCCACCAACACTTCCAGTTAAACTATCGTGTCCTCAATATTTGTCTCAAATGAAAACTGAAATAGATTTATCCAAATTCTCCACAGCGTATTATTATATATTTCTCCTGATTCTGAGTCGAGGTTCACCTCCTCATGCCATATGAACTCATCAGTTGGAATAAGACGGGTCACTTCCTTCCACCAAAGACATTCAACTCTCCGATGACTTCTTTGACTAATTACAAAGCTCGTCGACTCATTTAGCCGCTTTAAGAATTCCACTGATGCCTCGCCCTGCATCGAGTGAGAGGGGAAAAAAAATCCGCTGTCACAATTTCCCCTCTCCGTAGAGGTTTTCACGCAAGAACAATAAACTCAGAATGCCCAAGTTGTAATTATACCTACAGATGACAGATGACAGTTAAAAACTTAATTTAGAGGAAAACCCTTTGACTGAGTTGTTCGGTAAGAAGAGGGATCCTTTGCTTTATAATGGTAATTACTCTGCCATTTATTATTCTATCAGCACATGCAATTAAAGGAGAGCATGGAGGACACAGCTGATAATAAAGTGAGGGGAGACTGAATGCTAATTAACCTCTGCGTCTTCTGCTCTGCGCAGTACTTCTGGTTCTCCTCTGCACTCTGGTCCTGCAGTCGACTCTCCAGGCCCCCGCTGAAGGGGATGACCAGGGCCCCGGGGTCGTGACTGTCCACCCACTCCTTGATTTTCCCCAACCTAAGAAAAAATAACAACAGCCAGAGGGAAACTAGTCAGAGAACTTGATTAAAGCTCAAAAATGATTTTTTTTTTCTGTTAATGCAGAGTCACAACAGCAGTTTCTACATAAACCTGTGAAAACTTTCTTTTGTCTTTTGTCTTTAGCAGAGGGTGGGATTATTGAGTAAGACAACGTCTGACACATTTCCAGAAGGACCGGACAAAGGGATATAAACGATACCTGTGGCCATTTCAACCAAAACCATAGTAGTATATGTGCAGTATAGGAGAACAGAACACCTAATACATAATAATGACAAGTTATTACAACCTAAAATTAACACATTATACAAGTTTGGAAATTAAGGTAAGATTGCTGTAAGATGCTTAAAATAAATTATGGTTCCAGTGAGGCCAGCGATGCCTTCACTAACAAAAACCATTCACCTGCTGCACACCTGACTGTTCACTGAAGCCCAGGTCAATACACGGATGTTGACCCTTTAGCCTTGCCTTACTCATGACCCACATTCCCGCAAGAGGCTGAATTTCTGTTTTCTTTTCTCGTCTTCCAGTCCAGCAGGACATCTGACATTGCAGGGCAAAGATATCCTTACACTTAATGGTAACTTGCAGTCAGAAGAAAATAAGAGGGAGAGAGAGAGCAGTTGTCAGAGCTCAGGCCACAGAGCGACACCACAGGGGACTGATTAAATATGGAAATTATAATTGCTAATTGACCTTTATTAATCAGAGCAGTGGAGGGGGGAATATTTTTATCACTGTCGTTGCGTGTGTGTGCGTGCGTGTGTGTGTGTATCACTGTGCTTGTGCATGGCTCAGCTTGTTAAAAGGTGTTATGCTGTTATTTAGCTCTACTGTGTTTGTGTACAGTATGTGGAGCTGTTACTTCCCATCATGCATCCTCGTCTCTTCCTGTCAAATTAATGGCTAATAGCTATAGCGGTTAGCAAAGCAAGACACTATTGTTGTGTTTATTGTGTTAAAAATCGAATTCAACTTTCAAACACATCAACCCACATTATCTATCGCAACCATTGACGTATGAGAAAATGTTTGTTTGTTGTGTTTCTTCAATTCCTGCAACTATATCATGGTTGTGTCCAACTAAACAGGAGTTAATAATAATTTAAACTAGAATAGCTTTCTATATAATATTACAAATATTTTTCTTTGATGATGTACTGTTGGATATTTCTAACATCTTTCAGTTTCATTAAGATTATTTTGAAGACAATTTGTTTTATTCTGCATCAAGAACGTGTAAACATCATTTCTGCGGCTCATCTGGATCCATGTGGATTAATTTCCTTTACCTATCAACACATACACGCTCACACACAAAGTCATTTGCAAACACACACGCACACACATGCAGATGCCTTGTTTGTCGGATCACACAGATTCGATTAGAGACTCCCTAACTTCATTAACCCAATGTGATTTAGCCAGCTGTCATTAGAGCCACATGTAAACTGGTCTGAAGTGGTTTCATTTGGTTTCAGCTCAGTGAGTGCATCACGTCCATCCCTCATGGGCTCCGCAGGACTCAATCGCTTTTAACCAAATCCTACCCCAGGAGAACCTTTTTTTTTTTCTTTTTTTTTTTCAAATAACCACAGCGAATGTGCTCCTTAAACAAAAGCTCATTTTTCACTTTTTTATCTCCTTTGCCTGCAGGAAATGAGTTAAGCGTGTGCTTCTCTTTCACTCAGC